AATTGAAATCTTAACACAAAAATTCCAACAGGGAAAAAGTCATGCTTTAATTAACACATTTAGATCCGCACTTTCGTTAATATTCATTCCTAACGATAATGACCAAAAAGTCGTTTCTCGTTTTTTAAAAGGTATTTACAATATAAAACCATCCAAACCTAAATATGCAGAAACCTGGGACCCTTCACAGTTATTGGACTATTTAGAACAAAAATTCCCAAATGAAACATTACCCTTAGAAGATTTAACGTTAAAATTAGCAACTTTGCTTGCACTCATTTCTGGTCATAGAGTACAAACACTCTCCAAAATAACTTGTGACAATATTAATATTACAAATCAAGAAATTAAAATTAGAATCACACAAAAAATGAAAACTTCGGGGCCAAATAAATTACAACCTATCATTGTTCTTCCGTATTTTCATGAAAAACCAAAATTATGTGTTGCTTCTCTAATTAAATACTTTATAACAAAAACAAACCATGTTAGACTTCAAAATAACACTCCTTTATTTTTTACATTCAAAAAACCACACCACCCAGCAACATCACAGACCATCAGTAGATGGATTAAAAAAGTAATGGCACTAAGCGGAATTGACATAACGGTATTTTCTTCACATAGTACCCGCCATGCGAGCACATCGAAGGCGGCAAGAAATGGAGTAAACATAGAAATTATAAAAGAGACTGCTGGATGGTCTAAAAACTCTGAAGTCTTTAACAAGTTCTACAATAAACCTTTACGAAAGAACACCTCACAATTTGCAAATTCTATAATTAATTATTAACAATTGTTAAGTTTAAGTTAATAATAATCCAGTTAAAAATAATGTTAAAAAATGAATTAGAAACTAGAATTAAGTTTGCATTTTTGAATAGTAGCAATAACATGTAATGAAAACATTTTTATATGTATTTCTCTACATCATGTTTGAACGATTTCTTTGTCACATCAAATATAAATTAAATATATAAATATAAATTTAGATCAAATATTTTATTGTTTACTTTCTTAGGACCTAAGATCGCTTTATATAAGGGATCCTTTAAACATCTACATGGTGAATTAGGTAATTGTTGAGGACAGGACCACGAAAAATAATTGAAAGATTGGTCGACTTACCTGTAAGGAAGATCGATCTTAATTATTTGAGTGGTCCTGTCTGAAAACAATTACCTCCCACCCTTCCCGAATTAACCCCAGCGCGATCGGTAGCCTTTATAATCTGTGATTAGTAGGTTGCAAAATGGGAATGACTTATATTGACAGGATTGAATTATAGGTGCTATGCAACAAAAAATTAATCATTGTTGCTTTAAACTTTGCGCAGCAGAACGGTGTACTACATGGTGAATTAGGTAATTGTTTTCAGACAGGACCACTCAAATAATTAAGATCGATCTTCCTTACAGGTAAGTCGACCAATCTTTCAATAAGTTGTTTGTGTGAAAAATATTATTTTTTACCATAATATATTATATTAATTTTTTTACCATGACATGTGCTTTTTCGAATTAAAAAGCGTTCTTAATGCGATTCTATTTATAATAGTATATTAAGTATCAAGTTTGATAAACGCCATTTTAGTCACGAATTTAATTAAATTTAGGCCAAGAAAAGTTTATAAACGAGTTGCATACTATACTTTTTTTACGACGAATACTTAATATTATCTAAAAAAATTATTTAAATTAAATTTTTGTATAAAGCGAGATCTATACGAAAATAAAGTAACCATTCCAATAAAAAAATTGACGTAATTTTCACCGTAAACATTGCTTGTTATTATTTATATTAAACTTAACAATTATTGATTCCTTAAAATATTAAAATAACTTTAAAATATGATTATGTTAAAAAAAATATTTTATCCTTTGATTTTTTTTATCACTATAATTGCAAAATATTATTACAAAGTATTAAACATTCTTACACGGGAAATGTTACAGGTACAAAAAGTGACAGTTGTATTTATTGGAATTCCCGTTAGAATTTCTAACTTTTCAAATTTTTCTGTGTAAATCAATATTTAGAGATATCAAATATTTTACAAAATATGCTTATATTTTTTAGTAATTTATCTAAACACCAATAAAACTCAATAAGTTGTTTGTGTGAAAAATATTATTTTTTACCATAATATATTATATTAATTTTTTTACCATGACATGTGCTTTTTCGAATTAAAAAGCGTTCTTAATGCGATTCTATTTATAATAGTATATTAAGTATCAAGTTTGATAAACGCCATTTTAGTCACGAATTTAATTAAATTTAGGCCAAGAAAAGTTTATAAACGAGTTGCATACTATACTTTTTTTACGACGAATACTTAATATTATCTAAAAAAATTATTTAAATTAAATTTTTGTATAAAGCGAGATCTATACGAAAATAAAGTAACCATTCCAATAAAAAAATTGACGTAATTTTCACCGTAAACATTGCTTGTTATTATTTATATTAAACTTAACAATTATTGATTCCTTAAAATATTAAAATAACTTTAAAATATGATTATGTTAAAAAAAATATTTTATCCTTTGATTTTTTTTATCACTATAATTGCAAAATATTATTACAAAGTATTAAACATTCTTACACGGGAAATGTTACAGGTACAAAAAGTGACAGTTGTATTTATTGGAATTCCCGTTAGAATTTCTAACTTTTCAAATTTTTCTGTGTAAATCAATATTTAACCCTTAAAGATAGACTAACAATCAATATAGAAGCAGTTTTTACAGTAAAAGAGAAGATAATGTTTTATCATTGAGTAAAGTTCTTTACTCAATGGTTTTATGTGCACTGTACGCAAAATTTTCGTTCATTTAATCTTTTTAAATATTGGCGTCAAGAAACTATTTAATACTTCTGGAGCGCGTTCGAAAAGTCGCAAGCAGGCGCGTGTCAAACGGCCCCGCGGGGGGGCCCCTGGTATATTGGGGGCCCCCGGGCCCCCAATATACTTTATGAAAAAGTAATATCTATGTATATCAAACAAACTCCAAAAATACAAATATGCACACTTAAACATTTCAAATCCATATTTAATTTGTCACCATTTCTTTCTAACATAAAAAATGTGAACGCCCAAACAATTGTTAACCCTGGCTGGTCGAAACCTCACCCTGCTTAAAATAACCCATAGGGACCTATACAAAATAATCTATCGGGCGCTACCGGATTCAATATGTGCATTTGTCCATGGTTTTTTCCGGATACGGCCCGATAGAAAATGTATAGGAAATTACCTATAGGCACACCATAACTTTTACATTTTCCCTATTGAGACCGATAGCAAATAACTCAATGAAGGATATATGTATAGGGATATCCCTATAGAACAACCATAAGACATTTGTCAAAATTTTATTAAAACCTATAGGGTTCTATGGGGGAAAACCCAATTTCTATATTTATGTGTATTTTCCCCATTGAAACCAATAGCAAATAAATCAATCCCTATAGAACAACCATAAATCCCAACTATGGGTCCTATACATACCGATACACCCTATAGAAACACCATACATTCCGATACAAATATCTATCGGTTTGAACAGGGTCTCTATGGGGTATTTTAAGCAGGGGAATAACCTATGGGAATCACTGCAGTGATTCCCATAGGTTATTCCCCGTTTTAATGGGAATTTCCGGTTATTAGCGAGTCTTTGTTGTTTCACTTGTTACGTTTGAGTTTTGAGTTGATATTTAAAATATTAAAATGAGTATTTAGTTTCAAAAATTCGCTGTGTTTTTTAACTATTAGATAATGATATTGTGTATAAATATTTACTATAATGGGTTATTTTTGGAAAATATAATAGTGACATAGGGGGCCTCAAAAAAAGTTCGCGGGGGGGCCCCCAAAAAATTTGACACGCTACTGGTCGCAAGAGTGCACTCTGGATACACTCCAAGTTTACCTTGCGCGTTCGAATTCTCTGGTATATACCTAGAAATATGCAACTGTCAACTGTTCGAAAACAGCAAGTATATGCCCAGAGTGCACTCTCTGATGTCAAAGCTTTAGACTTGGTTAAGTTTTACCCGTCATGCGCATAGGGTACATCAAAGAATAATTTGTATTTACATTCATATAATTTATTTATATCTGTTTAAAATTCAATAAAACAAAAACGAAAAACACTAAAATAAAATAATTTATTTAAATTAAATTATTTAAAAAATATCAATTCTACAAAACAAAACAAAATCTATCACAAAAACTTGAATAAACCATATAACTAAAGGGTTAAAATTCAATAATTTAATATTTATATGTATTCAGTCAAATAACAAGCATAACCAATTGATTTTAGAACACTACAACATAAAGTTTATAGGTATATGCTCCGCGGAGTTAGAAAATAACAAGAAGGTCAGGTATAATGTAAAGTCACGTGATTATACATATACCTATCCTTATACCATATCCAAAGTACACTCATTTCGAACGCACTCCTGTATTTTTGAATTCAGATAATAAAATAATTTTCACATTTAGTATTATTTTCCAAGAAAGGCACTTTATTTTAACGATTATATGACATTTGACAACTAACTTGAAACTAACTTCAGCCGGTGACTTAAAACCTATTGCTAACTTCAGCCCGCGCCATAAAGCCACAACTTGTCAATGTGTATTTAAAAGGTTACTTAGTCGATAAGGGTGTAGACAATCAGTTTTATAGTTCAAAAATGCATTTTGCATTTTTGTTGTTAAAAATTTAGTCTCACTGGGTATATTTACTGTTATTGGGGCTACAATTGGACGCTTTTAGAAGAAAAAAAAGCGCAGGTTACTTTCGGTTGCTCTAATTTTTATTGTGATGTTGTAAAGGCAAACTGTAACTTTTTAGTTTATTTTCTACAGATTACTACTAGCGAGACTACTATTTTTTATGCCAAAAAAATAAAAGAATATTTTTAGATTTCTCGTTATTTTTTTATTTATTAAAATTTTCTTAAAAAGTTTTATTTTTACTTACTCGGTGTTTTTCTCGCGGTGCAGTGTGGTATCTTTTTCTGTTTGGGGGGTCACTGGCGGCTCTAGGGAAATAATTTCCCAAATTGATCATTTTGGACTTGGGGTTGACTTGTGGGGTGCTTTGAAGAGTCCTGTAGTGCAAAGGTGAGGGGGGTGCGTTGCCGATGGGGCTTTCGCATAGCGTTGGGGAATCAGGGAGCGGGGGGACCTCTGGGGGGTCTTCCTGGTCGTCCAAGACTGAAGAACATCTGAAATTTGATGGGATTTGTCAGGATTTTTTTTTAATTTTGCCATAGCCATAGCCATAGCAAAATTACTAAAAATACAAAAAAACCTAAAATCTAAAACAAAATTTTAAAGAATACTATTTTTAAAATTTTGTTTTAGATTTTAGGGGTTTTTGTAATTTTAGTAACTTTTAGTAAGTAGTAGCACGACACACAAAAACCGGTATGCTGATGCGCATGTTATAGCTATTCTGTGACGTCATGTGCGAACCAAAAGCAAATGTTATTTGCACTGCAAATTAAAAATTTAGTAATTTCCTTTAAAATTTTGTTTTAGATTTTAGGGGTTTTTGTAATTTTAGTAACTTTTAGTAAATAGTAGCACGATACACAAAAACCGGTATGCTGATGCGCATGTTATAGCTATTCTGTGACGTCATGTGCGAACCAAAAGCAAATGTTATTTGCACTGCAAATTCAAGTTACATTCGAAAATTTATAAAGATAGGGACGGCCTGGGTGCAATTATTAAGTGTAACAAACTCTCTTAAAATGAATTGGTCATATTTGACTAATTGTTAAAGCGAAAAAGCAGTCACTAATAATTAGTCAAATTCTACTAAATGAAATAGTCAAATTAGTACATTTAAATTTAAAAAAGTTTTGACCCAACCGGGGATTTTACTCAGGTCTGTTACTTGTCAAGCTTGTCAAGCTGTTGTCATAACGATTGTGGCTATCAGTCGCTCTTATAAAAATTAATTTTATTTGTCAATAAATATTGTTCATATTATTTTAAAGTTGAATATATTATTTGTGTTGTTGTTTTGAGCTAAACTTTTTGCCCTTTGTTTGTTTTTAGTAGCCATTTAATTCAAATAATACTTTGTTGTTGGCCGCAAACGATTAAAGAAATTAGTTACTTTTAACTCTCAGAAATAGTCAAAGATGGTGTCTAATCTTAAATTAGTCAATTTTTAACTATTTATGTCAAGGGCGTCGATAATTTTTTCTTTTGGGGGGGGTAACTCCTTATTGTTCATTTGCTTTTGTATATTGGGGAAAAGGATACCAAAACTAAATATCTCATAAACATAAACATATATTCTTTTTTAAAAACCTATAGGTAATCTTTTTAAATATAAAATTTAATATATAAAATTAAAATGTCTTTTCATTTTTGCAAAACCTTATCAATATTTAACTAGACTTCAGTACATCAGAGATGCGCACAAGATGCGAGAGATCTAAGGATGCTGGGGGTGGACGTTCACTCTAGATGATGCGCACAAGATGCGAAATCATTGCGATTTTGCGAATTAAATTCACTACCTACCTTACCACCATCTAGTGTAATAGTAATAAAACAGGGCTTTTATTATGCCACACCTTAAAAACTATTCATAGAGGGCGACTTGCATTCATAAATTATATTTGTAGTAATTTTTTTCCTAGGACTTCTATCTGGGGGGGGGGGTAATTACCCCCATTACCCCCCCCCCTTCGACGTCCTTGATTTACGTAGTAAAAAATAACTATTTCAAAGTGAAAACGACTATTTTATTAGTAAAAACATATTTTAAGTAGCAAATAATTTCTTACCTTCTTATTATTATTTTTTAAAATAGTTTTTATTTAATTGAATTAACTTAACACTTACGCTAGACCGAATTTTATATTTTTTTAATGTGAAAGGTAAGAACATTCATAAGAATTTATACAGGTAATAATAACGTGCGCCCGCTTTAAAGTGTCAAAAGTAAAAAAAAAATCTCAAACCTGCATTTTTTACTTGTGACACTTTTGATCCAATTGTTTTAATTTTTATTATTAGTAAGAACTTATGCAAGCTGTAAATAAATATGTGGTTAGGGTAAAAAGATATTATAAGTATCCAACAGAAAATTGACAAAAATTGGCTTTACTTACCGTTTTTATTTTCATTTTATCATTTCTCTTGCATTCATTCATCCTGTGTGCTGCCAGATCTTTATTTTTTGGAAATCGAAAATATTTAATGTTAGGTTAGGTTGGGGGAGTTTCTGTTCATATTTCTGCTGTCTGCTATAGCACAGCCCGGCATATTTTAAATATTTATTAAGTCCAACAAATATAACAAACTTAATAAATAACCTGGTATAAAACACCCGTGCATGCTGTTCAATAAATGCAGTAAAAACTTTACGAAAAACGTTGCAAAACCATCGTGCGTGGCTTATGCTTTGAAAAACACAATATTTTTAGATAAAACTCTAAAGAAATCGTATTTAAACCCCCGTTCATTGCGTATGCCTATGCAAAACTTTTTGTAACATTTGAATCTGGTTCGCACGTGACGTCACATGCGCGGAGTTTTCGTTTCATAACCACCATACCGGTTTTTGTGTATCTTGAGTAGTAGGTAATAGTAGGCAGTTTAAAAAAATATTTTTATCTCCACGTGGTCTATAATTTAAACTTTATTGTTGTCAACATTAAATAAAGAAATACCTTGTTATGGCCTAGGCCGATAAAAATTTTTATGAGGCAAGTAATTAGTTCGATTTTTTCTCGCTAGGGTATTGTTTTGACAAAAAATAATCCTTTTCTAAGAAATTAACGTACTAAACTGGTTTAATTTATTTATAATAAGCACTAATTTGTTTGTTTTACTGTTAATGTTTAATATTTTTCATTAAATTATTGTAAAATTAAATATGAATAATAAAACAAAAAGTAAGGTTAGACAACCAAGAAAACGCACGATTCTTTTTCTACGATTTAAATTATCTTTAAGTTTTAATTTGCTTTAATTTTTCAGTGAAATTAAATGTTAAACACAGCTTAAACATTCCAAACTACCTATTTTTTAAATAAAAATCCAAACAAATTGAAATTAGATACCTACCTATTTATTAAACAATTAATTGAATTCAATGTAATAGCAAAAATCCATTTCTACTTAAATCGTGTAGCTAGGTATTGTCAAACTATTACTGCTTCTAAAAGCAATAATAAATATTGTACATTTAATGTAATCTTTAGCAAATAAATAAATGACATTCTAAAAAAGTAAGGTTAGGCCGCTTTGATGTTGAATTAAATTGACCTATATAAAGTGCTTTGAAGATAAAATGTTGTATGCCATTCGGCCAATAAGTGCCTTTTTGTGCTTCGCTCAATTGAAGGCCGACGCGTAGCTTAGCACAAAAAGCCTTACTTCTTAACCTAATGACATAAATAACTATTTTTTACCTCAACGTGGCATAGTTTGGGGCGTAGTACCCGCTACTCATCAGTGGTGATCGGTACTGATCGTATGCCCCCAAAGTAGCGGTGGCCGTGTCGGTGGCGGCCGGCGGCGGCGGTTCTTCGTCCTGATCCCCGTCGTCATCTAGACTCACGGGCGTCATCGGATGACTGGCGTTTCCTGATTGTCCGTTGTTATTGGACGAAAAGTTCATTAATAGGTCCTGAAATAGAATATAAAAATGTTTAGTTTTTTTCATTTCGAAATTCACCATGGTGCACCTCGGTTAATTTTACGATTTTTGTTTATTTGGCATTTTTGATAAACTGTCATTTTGAGACATCATAAGATGCAGACGCGTAAGCGACCGCTTCTTGTCCCGCACTCCACCAGCCTAAATCGGGCGTATGGCCCGGCCCGGCGACAAAATTCCGGGAGGGGCCTTAACCATCGAAACTGTCATCCACGACCTCCTAAAGGGGATTTACCAGACGCACAGTGTTTTAATTCTGGAAAATATCGGCAAAACCTCAAAAATTGCATTATTTTTTCAGGTAAATTTTGAGTAAGATGGGTAGTTAATACCTGTCTCCATTCTGTATTGAAAAAAAATTATATAAAATACGTATATTTTGTCTTGTACATCAGTTTAAACTTGACGCTTTCAGTTGAAGGTACTTTACACGCGATCGCTGCGAAAAATTGTTTAAAAGTGAATAACTTGTGCTTGGTGTGTCAGATTGTTATGCGGTTTGATAAAGGGTGATCTTCAAGGTATCTAAAATTCAAATATGTATTTGTTTTTCGTAGATTTTGCTTGTACAACGGGTTATTGTAATCGACAAGATCGGTCTGTTAAAATCGCAAACTTTTAATCGAGCTTTTAGAACAATGGAGCTACAAAATTGTAATGAATTGTAAGGCATCAGTTCAAGATCCGTTGAATAGCTTAAAGTTTTGTCTATCAAGCCATCAATAAATTAGCTGCCCCAACTTGCCCCCGGCTCTTTAAAACTACATGTTCTTGGGCGCTCAGGCACGGTGGTGGTAAAAAACCTCGCGATTTTAAGCCTATGTCTGTGTTTTTGCTTTACAAAATATAAGATTTTTTTTTATTTCTGGGTTGCGTTAATGACGTTTACTCGATTCACTCGGATTTAACTCAAAACGTTTATTACAACAGCGGTGTCTACACTTTCACTTGCGTAAATCGTTCGTGACTACTAAGATATTTAACACCGATTTTACATATTTAACCCACCTCTTGTAAGTGCGTTAAAACAACTCCGCATGCGCATTGTAGTGTGTTAATGTCAAATTTGAATTGTGGTTATTTGTGTTGACAATTTTTTTAACGAATTAAGAAATCGTTGCTAAAATATTAAGTAAAAAAAATAATACAAATTTAAAATACTTATTATAAAATCTGTTACCTATATTTAAATTTTATAAATAAATTTTCTCGAAAAAAAAAACGATGGAAGACGTTTTCCATATGCTTATGGCATCGGTATATTTCTAGCTTCAGAAAATTTGCTCCGAAAAAGAGCAAATCTTTGTCCCGCGAAGCAATAAAACTGTTGCTATCTACTGATGGTTTCCCATGCTCTGCTAATGATACAACGAGCGAATCCAGTGACGGAGATTGTTTAATATATATGTAGGTAATTAATAATATCATATAAATGTAATTATAATAAACTAAATTAAGCTATTTTATAAAAAGATGTTTTATTACATTTTAAAAAGAACCTCTTACGGGTTTTTAATTAATTTCGACAATATTTGATAAAAATGTCCGCCATTTGAGGTCCACCATTTTGAATTTTGGAATTCTGATTTCAGATTCATTATCAGCGACCACAAAAACCCCTGTATGGTGATTTTCAATTAATTCCGTCAATTTTTTTACAAATATGTCATGCCATTTTGGATCTACTATTTTGAATTTTGGAATTCTGATTCCAGATTCGTTATCAGCGACCCCAAAAACCCTGTATGGTGATTTTCAATTTATTTCGTCAATTTTTTGACAAATATGTCCGCCATTTTGGATCTACCATTTTGAATTTTGGAATTCTGATTCCAGATTCGTTATCAGCGACCCCAAAAACCTCTATGTTCGGATTTTTAGGAGAATCCGACTACTAAAATTTCGAGAATTGAAACACTGTGAGACGGGGTAAAAATTCGGATTCACCAAAACAGGTAATGCTATGCTCAGGTTAAAAATTAATTTAAAAATCTGAAGTTTTAGGAGGGACTTCAGGATAGTTAAAATGAAAGAAAAATCCTCGTTTAAAAAAATTTCTAAAAAATAAGTTTTTCACACTTTTTTGGGATTTGTTTTAATTCTTTTTAATTTTAAAAAATTAATTTACAAATCTGAATTTTTGGGAGTACCTTGAAAAAAAAAATGTACGTATGAGAACTAAAACTTGGTAAAAAACAACTCTGGGAGATCAGTGTAAGGCGATGCCGATACCATACGTTCTTATACTCATACTGTCGTTTTTACATAGGTATCTCTAAGTCAGTAAACACAACCAAAACTCTATTATAACAGAAATGTTTTATAAATTTATAATAGTACATTATGAGTGAGCACATTATTTATACACTATGTTGGACGTAATTTGGTTATATCTCCATAATTTATGAGTTGAGGTATTGATATTTGTACAATATTCATTAGTATGTTTGCTGACAATATTAGCTAATGATGCTTAATATTGAAATATATTTGGGTAAATATAAACTTTTAGGAGTATAATAAATAATTCAATTTAATACATGAGTCAAGCAAAATCAAAGGCGGACAAATCACATTTTTGTAAAAAATAAATAAGAAAATAATCTTTGGTTTTAAAACCGGACATATCCACCAATACGTTGGCTATTCAAATACCTTAATCATTAGTCCAGGTTTGAAGTTTTTGGCAAAAACTTTTTGTGTGGCATTTTTGCTTTTTATTCTACACGACTTACACAATAATGAATTTGATTTTGAACTTTTTTAAACGCAAAGTACTTTAAATGATCATTTCTGTTTATCACAATCTAATTGTAAGTTTAATCTAAATTAAAAGGTTTGCATAAAATCAAATTAAAACATAACTACACAGAACGGAATTATACAATTCGAATGCTTTTGTATAGAGCAGGTGCAGTTCGCGTGGCCGGTAATAGAGTGCGAACGTACCATAAAATATAAATTTTCCATTTTCCATTACGTTGAATGGAGTTTTAACCGGCTCGAGGTTTAAAAATCCCGTTTACACACACATACGTTTCATAAACTATTCATTTAAGTGTGTGACCCCGTTTCTGGCTCTCTTTAAAACAGCCACTTTACACCGTGTATGTGAGTCTATCAGTTGAACATAATATTGGTCTTCAATGGAAGTAGGTAGTGTATAGTTTAGTTTGCCGGCTTGCGGAATGTTTATTTTATAGTTCGTGTCGATAATGGTGCGCTGGTTTTGCATTTTGCATTTCATATTTTTCTTTATGGGCATTTTATTGCACCATCAGTCATTTGAGTTTTTTGTCTTTTTCATTTTTCATTAGCCTTATCTTAATATCTATTTATTGGATATTAAAAATTCGGTTAAATGATAACATAAAGGAAATTTAAAAAAAAGGAAAGAAGTTTAGTAATACTAAAAATCATGGCAAAAAATATTTTTTTGTTACTATTTTCATAACTTATAGCATTTCTAAAAACAATGAAATTAAGACATTTTAGAAAAATAGTTATTCTGGACACTTACAAATCTGATTTTTATAACAGTGTATATATACATGTAAGTCTTACATGTATATATACACTGTTATAAAAATCAGATTTGTTAACATGGGTTTTTAGTTTGTTAATTTTATTTTGTAAAATTTTAACATAATATTTTGTAGAAAACCAGGGTTTGTAATTATTTTAACCAAGGAAAATATTTTACCGAAAGTTTTGTAAAGGTAATAATATATTACCATAAATGTTATTTATGTTATTCGGATTTCTTATACATATTTAACGAGTGTGCGAAGTATCCAAAAAAAAAGACGTCACTAAAATTAGGGGTTATAGTGAAATGAATTAAAGTTACGAAATACATCAGTAAGTGTTCTAGTAGTACTGATAATTATATTGTATCAAATTTCTTTATAATTTGATGATTTCAGAATGGTGTGTTATTTAATTGTATATATGTTATTTTTGTGTTTATTTATGTAGGTATGTATGTGTTAATTTTTTGTTTAGGAAATTGATTAATAAAGCAACATTTCTTATCAACATTCTTTTCATTTAAGTTCTTAATTTCCAACAAATACTTTTGTTCATGGGTGTACAAAAACTACTTATTGAATTAGTTAACAGATTACAGTTGGTTGTAAACTTAACATAACATAACTATGTGGACCTGGATTAACATAAAATCTGGTTAATATTTGGTTAAAATAAACAAATATTTTTTTACTGTGTAAGTGAGTCTTTTTGTGCTGAGATCAACGTTTAAAGGCAGAGGCGTAGCAAAGAGCTACCATTGAGCGAAGCACAAAAAGAGACTTCTTAGTCGAATGGCATGCAACATTTTATTTCCAAGGTCCTAAGTTTATAAATACTGAATTTAACCTTGTAGCTCTTTAAAAAATATATACCCATACATAGAAGGCTAATTGGCGCACCCTGTATAATTTAACAATATTTTATAAATTCCTGTTTATCCAAGTTTTTGAATTGTTTATTTTATTAGTATTTGTTATTTTAAAGAAAATGTAGTTATTTTTTGGTAATTGATGAAAAATCGTTTTATATTATTTTAACCAATTTTAAATATTATTTGTATCAAGAAATCTGTGGCGGGTGAGTATCCGTCAGTATCTATGGTTACCACGCAATCTGTCATTGTTCAAAATTTAATTTTTTAATTTTTCATGTTGTTTTAAACCAATTGTTGACTAATTAGGTAAGTGTTTTGTAAACAATACTACTGATAAAAAATAGCAGTCAAAATATATGGGTTGTTCTGTTTGACATAACAAAGTAGATGTCACTTCCGGTTAAACCGGAAGAAAAATAAACTTAATTGGATTATAAACGCATTTAAAATTTCAAATCGATATTTTTTTCCGTTCCCGAAAAACTTCTAATGGACCACTAGTGTGAAACACCCTGTATCAAGCATTAATTTTATTGCCATTCCAAAACTTTTACAAAATTAGGTT